CTTCATTTCTGTTGGTATGTTTTCAGTTTTAATTGTCTGACAACTTTTATTGATCATCTGAAAATAGCTACTGCTGTTCAACTGTTTGTGTGCGTAATCTATTTTAGTATTGGTGTACATGCTCATAAAGGGACCCCACAATACGAAAACTTTTTTAAAAATTGAATCATAACTTTATTGAAAAAAAAAGGATTTTTCAAACTTATAAAGTTATTTTTTTATTTATTTGCTTTTTTTCTTGATAATAATAGCGGCTTGGTGATTTTTCATCGACATAATTATGTCTTTCTTTTTTCGAGGTTCTATTTCTTTTGCTCCTTGCTGTGCGTTTCTTGTGCAACTCTTCTGAGTTCATTAAGGTCGTTACTCTCGTCAGACGTTTTTCAGTGTTTACAGATGTTTTCACCTTTCGAGAATGTTCGATTTTTCCAAAATCAGACCAAAAAATGAAAAATAGCATATGGCTAATAATAGCTAATCCAAGACTAATCTATAACTTTGAGAGTAAAATTGGTTCCTAAACCAAAATAACTCCTTAATCAACAGACAGCTAACCAGTGTAGCCTTCATGTCAAATAATCACATGCAGCTAATTCACCAGTTAAAATAAATATTTGTGAAAAATAAAATGATGAATCTAACATCTTTTTTTCTATTTTCAACTCCTATTAAGAGCTACGTTGAGGTAAATAAAAGAAGTTAAACTTAACATTTTTTTTTTTTATTGTTGTGGAAATACATGTTACACAGTTTAATTACATCCGTTATAACAAGAGTAACACTTGGAATCGTCGGCATTATGTTTTCACCCACCGTATCATGTAGGAATCTTCCTCGAAGCATATCCTCTTCATAGTTTCGAAATCATTTTCAGTTCTTATAAGAGTTGGAAAACATTTTTTTCTAGTTTCTTTGGCACGCTTCCGAGGAGGGTTGTAAATGTCTTCGCCAGCACTTCTATGTGCTGGGAAATTATTATTATATGTAACTCTTATTCTTTTTTTCTGTCTTCTCATATTCATATTCGTGCTTTCCATTTCACTAAAACCAAATAATTAAATAAAAATCTATTACAGTATCATCGGAAAAATATTAATTATTAATAATGATAATTAATCAATTAATAATAATTTAAAAAACCTATACCACTATAACTCATGAAGAGTCTCGGGTTCAGTACTATTCAGAGAACGTACTGTTACTAGACAAACGGTTGTACAGGGAGGGATCTGGCCAGGTTCACGCTCAACCACCAGGTTTTTCTCCTTAATCAATTATTTAATTAAAGGTACTTACTTCATAGAGGCTGTGTGTGTTCCAGGAGGGTCTCCCAACCTCAGGGTAGCCCCACGGTCAACGAAACAGAATAAATAATTTTTCCGCCATGATCAGGATTTGAACCTGGGACCTTTAGCATTGGAAGCTGAGCGCCCTACCACTGAGCTACCCCGCTCCCTTATTAATTAATAATATGAATTATAACTAATATAGCCAAAAATGTGCTCGGGTAGAGGTTATGAGAAAATTTACGAAAAATATTTCATAGCCGGGAGCATGATAAATTAATGTGATACCATCGTATATGAAAACGTAAACCAAGGACTTAAAAGATCCGTTTGAAATTAATTTTTATTCTTACAAAATTTCAACATGAATGGGAGAAATACCTTATTGGAAGTAGTGCTGGCCTACTTTATAGAGTTGCTTTTTACACAACATACTGATCAATCCATATGGACAAAGCTCTTAAGCAGACCCTACACGGTAATTCATGAATGAACGTCACTAGAAGTACCAATATTGCCCGCTATCGCTTTGATCATGAAGACCCTTACACGTTCAATCATTACTGATCATTGCTTATCGTTGCTGATTTAGGTTAGATCGTTGCTGACCAATTTAGCGCAGTTGTAAACAAAGAAACAGCATAGATATGCTTATTTAGACATTGACATTTATAATATTGGGCATCAAGAGAAAAACGGAGATATAATAATTACTTCCTAGTGCCTGAAAATCGTTTAGACCAAAGTTAGTCCAAAATATAAGTCAACTACATACAAAAATCTATGAAAAGTATTGCGAAAATAGTCAATTTGTTAAGAAAAATGGAAAAATTAATGGCAAATAAACACAACAGTTAACGATTTTTTTTCTATAAGTAAATTGTGAAGTTTCCACTTTTTCTCTTCAATTTATTGCCTACTTGACTGCTTAAAAAAAATAGTTGAAAATGGTTAATAATAATATAGACTAGGGATATAAACAACTATTTACTTAATAACGAGACCTAGATAAACTAACCTATCTAGTAGTAGTCTCATAGAAGGTTAGTCTCATAGAAAATTGTTTTGACAAAGGTAGTAAAATATAAGTCTACTATTTACAAAAATTAAGGAAAGGTATTGCGAAAATAATAAATTTGTTGAGGAAAATGGGAAAAGAACTGATAAATATACACAACGATAAAGTTTGTTTTTTTTCCTAAAGTAAATTGTGAAGTTTCCTCATTTTTTTTTTTAATTTGTTGCCCAATTGACTAAAAGAAATAGTTGAAGATGGTTTAAAATTATAAACAAGGGACATGAAAAATTATTTAACTATTTACATATACTGAAAATCAGAAATGTATGATGGTTGTGAGGCCTAGGTAACCTAACCTATCCAGCAGTACGGTTGGTCCCCCCAGCCCATATGTTTAGTCGGTCTCCCCTCCACCTCTCGTGAATGAACCTTTGATTTCCGGATGTTCGGAAATCCGCAGCGCACCACCTTCAGTACTTCATTCACTACCTTACACGACAATTCGGAACGTCATTAGTGCAATTCCGATTGACCTTGTAGGGTCCCCTTTACATCATATTATTCCATTATTTTTATTATTATTTTTTTTTATCCTTTTTCACACCAGTCCATATACCATATCATTAACGATACCACATTAAGAAAAAAACCATGATACAATACATTGTTTTATGAAAAAAAAAAGTATTCGAATGATAGAAATACCTAGTTCCTTGAGGAAGCTCCTTGTTATTTTTGGAATCGTTCCACGAGACCCAAACCAGAGGCCTCTCACGGTGAACTCTCTCTCCGAAGATCTCACGGAACTGAAAAGAGTGCCAATGTGATAAAAAATCAACAATTTTTTTTTCAGAAATTCGCAAACTTTTTTCAAAATATCAGGGTGACTGCGCGATATTTTGTAAGTATCACATGCTCTGCATGGGCTAAAACTTTCTTTTTCCAGTAACCACTAACCATAATTGAGCCGGATTCCGTTTGTTAGGTAATTCATACTTTCATATCCTCAGCGTTCATGTGTTCCAAGGTTCTTCGTAGAATGGATGATATTTTTAAGGAGTTCAGTTATTAACCAATTCTTTTTGTTTTTCATCAATACACCTCGACTCTCAACCGTTAGACATATTTCATTTACAGAAAATAGGTCTTCTACATAATATATAATGCCTGTAATGCATTGTCAGGTTATCTTTATTAAATTAGTTTTACTTTACTAAGTTTATGTCAATAAAACATCTAAATGTACCTATTCTGTAACGTTATTGTAAGATGTAACGTAACATTTTTAATATATAGCAAGAAGCTAGACTCTTGCACAAGACCATTTATATTATATTATATGTATTATATTTGGACAACACTAAACTAAATTGGTGTAAAACAATTGCTGGATTAATTCTTTGATTCACTTTAGAACCAATTCTTACCGGGATGTGGAGCGGTGTCTCTCTTGCCTTGTAATAACTCGTGCTTCTGTTGTTCTGTCATTTGATTGAAGTCGGATTCTCTTATGGTGACGATATTCGCTGTCTCTGCATGTCGTGTGATCGCATGTACAGTGGCCAGAAGCTGGTCTCTTCGGCATAATAATTACGTTAATCTTGAACAAGGTATCACAAATAAAATACCATGTTTTGCAACGGTTCAACTATCCTGAAATTTAGTTATGAACTCATTAGAAGGATAATGATGGGTTCTATGTTTAGTATCTAAGTAATGGGTCATATGATTTGCGCAGTGTAAGGTTAGAACCACAGCCTAACTCAATTTTTGACGAAAATGAGTTAGGTATCTATCAACCTGGATTCGTTTTTTCACGCACTATCGAATGATAAGCTATTCAACTACGGTTTTCAGAAATGGGAGAGGGGTGACAAAAAACAACATGGTCTTATCATTAGGTTGTTTCCTGCAAGCTCTGCATGTCTTGAAGAACACCACATAGTGTGGTCATAAGTCTGCATCCTCAATAGTACCCAAATATATATTTATAATTGTATACATAAATTATTTTTAATATTTATGATTTTAGTTATTAATTATATTTAAGAATATACACTGTGAGGAAATTATCTAACTATACTATTATTCTATTCAACTACCCAATGTTTAGAATATGGTAGCACTTTGATATTGAAATCTTCCATCTATTCCCACAGAATGGATTATTAAAGTGGTAAATGTATATGCCATTTACTAAGCTTTCTAATTTATAAGATTCTTTTATTTTTATTCATTTTTCCAATCTTAATTATTTCAGCTTAATACCAGTAATGCGGATGAGTGAGAGGCGCTGGGATCTCCTCGAGTCCTGCCTTTCCTTCCACTAATGCGGGAAAAGGCTTGGCTGGGAGATCTGGTGTGAATGAATTTTGTAAATATTTTATAAAAGAATGTATGTATTTAAGTAGTTCTTTTGATTAGTTTAGTTTAGTTTCTTTTAGTTTATAGACATTTACTTTTAGTATTATTATTTTGCTATTTATTTATTGTATATCATAGAGTGCGAGTGAGCTACACTTCTATCACTATCACTATTGCCCTTAGATGTGACAGATTGTAATATTTTTCAATAAAGAATTAATGTGAACAAAAAAATATTTCTCTGATGTTAACTTCTGATTAAATTAGACCCTAAGGAGTAAGAAATAAGTAATAATAAGTAAAATATGAAATAATAAGTAAGACCATAAGGAGTAAGAATCTTAATCTTTATTTGTTAATAGTTGTTTGTTTACAGAATGTTTATAGTTGAAAATGGTGAGATTCTCGAAATTCTAATGCGTTATCTAAATAGCATAATAATTAAGAATATAGCATTTAGATAAATCGTAAGAAATATAGAAGAGGATATGTTTAGATGACTAGAACTTATAATGAACAAGAAGTAACATACATTTTTAAGAGAATCAATCAAATAAAGGCTCCTACAAGCAGAATACGATATGAAGATTCGATACCCTTTGTCAGTAGCACTGTGGGTTATCGCACTGAGTGTAACGGCTATAATACAATAAATAGTAATACAACTCTATATTGCCATATAGCTGCTGACAAGAATATCATATCACACATTTTGAGTGGGGATCTTTAAAACTTAAATAGTTAACAAAGGAAGTAAAAAGAAGAGTTGGTTTTTCAACCAGTATTTAATTAAAGAAGTAAACAATTGAAGAAACATATAACATTTTTTACAGTATAAAACCGATATGAATTAAGATTAAAATTCCTCAAATTTGACTGCAGCATTTGGTTTTGGTCCTAAAAGAAAATGATCAATATCATGTAGACTTTCATTCTGATCATAAGCTGGTAATATTTTGTACTTCAGAAGAATAAGTGCAATTGAAGTCTTCACAAATATGTTAGCATATTTCATACCTAAATAGAAAAATGAAACATTTTAATATTCAAATCATATCTATATAATTAAGAAGTCATCATACAAATAATAAAATTCCTTACCTACACATATTCGCGGCCCTTCACCAAAAGGCAAGAATGAGTACTTTGTCATAGACTCCTTATTAATATCTGAAAACCTATCTGGGTCAAATTTTTCTGGATTAGGAAAGTATTCTGGATCATAATGAAGAGCAAAAGGAGAAATAAATACTTTAGTTCCCTTAGAAATTTTCACACCTTCTATCTCTGTATCCTTAGTACATAAGCGGGACACTATCATCACAGGGGGATGCATTCTTAAAGTTTCTGTAAAAAGAATTACCAAAATAAATCAAGATTCGCATTACGTTTAAATTCCTCACGTTAGAGAAAATGAGTGACTTTATAAATGTTTGAGAGGGTTTTATGGGAAATGATTTAACCATGATTTTGGTGCATACTTTCCTTTTCTGAAATGCTGAAAGGTAAAGTCATCAAATAATGATGAATAAAACTATGTTTAGCTTATTAGGAATTAGTTCTCTTACCATCAAAAACCATTTGTAAATAAGTCATGGAATTTATTTTATCAAAGTCAAGATCCTCTGGTTTTTTTCCAATCAAGAAGATTTCTCTCCTAAGTTTGTCTTGGACATCTTGGTGATAAGCTAGCTCCAATAGTATAAAGGATAAAACTGCTGATGATGTTATAGTAGCATCCATATAAAAACTTGCACAATGAGAAGACATTTCCAAGGCTGAGTAGGCTGAAATTAAGAAAAAGATCATTAGAACCAAGTGGTTTAAAAAATGCATTAAATAATAGAGATTCGAAATTGAACCTTTATTCCCTTGCTCCAACTTCTTTTGATTTAACTTCATTATTGTATCAAATAGATCACTTCGTGTGATTTTAGCACTCTGTCGATAATCAATATTTGTTTTAGCCATGGATACGAAAAATTCCTCTGCTTCCTTTGAAGTCATTCTGAAAATACATATAGGTAACAAACTTAAAAAATTAAACTTTTAAGATATAGGACATATTAGATACTATATATAGAAAATTATTAAGTAAAGAGTAATTATTGAAATGTGTTATAAGTATTGTATAATTTATTATACAAATAACTAAGATATTAAAAAATATTAATTTCCTATGTTCGTTAATACCAAATTTTGAAAATAGGCAAAAAAAATACAAAATATTAAGCTAATGAGAGGAAGTACAATAAAAATACAGATGCTCAACTATATCGAGTTGCTAAATGAACCAGCATCCTCATCAGTCCTAATAGATAATATGTAATGAGAGAAGACAAAAAGAATAAATTTTTGTGGGACTATCAACCAAAGTACCGAATGTTATTTTATTCATTCATTATAATTACCTCTCACAACTGTCCGTAAAGCTCAATACAAAGTGGCCAGATGATGATGCAGGATTCCTAATGAGTATAAAGTAATAGATTCTGCCATACTCTGCAGGTGGCTTCCTTTGATGCCCATCCCTTCCAAAAACCCAGCAGTTGAATGTGTAATTGCTCCACAACTCCCAAACAAAGTCCCCATACCAAAAATTGTCTTCCACCAAATTCCTCTCTGAGCCCATAAGAATCATCCCATCATACATAAACTTGTTCTCCCCACTTTAAGTGGGACATACCTAATCCCTGCCACTTACATGTTGTTCCAATCACCGAATCACTTTTATCTCAGGGACTGCCTAACTTCTTGACTGATACTGAGGCTTCTACATTATTTGCTTTGAAGCCCAACAGATCAACGCACTTTTGAACTTCACTCCCCAAATCAAAAATCGCCTGTAATAGTGCATCCTGTACATTGGCTAATTATTGGGAATTTGACCAATGCAGAAGTGGAGCCTCCCACTGACACTGGAAAAGACACAGGCCATTGTATCACCGTGGCTCATGCATCATAGCCGAGCACATTTTAACTAGCAAACCGATTATCGTCTTTACACTTCTTCTTATTAAGACATCTAGAGGTAGCGATGACCGTAATTTGGTCAATAATATGAACAACTGAATGACTCTTCCTAGTACAATTTATTTATTTCTTGTTCTATATTTATTTTATTCCATATAAGATTATAATTTTCACGTTGCTTGAATTTTTTTAAAAATGTATTGGTTCATTCTGGAATATATTTCAATTTTTTATAAATATATGGTTTAATCTCTTATAGTTTCCACACAGCCTACTTGTTAATTTGTTAATTCATTATTAGGATCAATTTGTGGAAAATATACACTAATCTTTTTTATTTTGTCATTTCTTTTTTTATTACAACTGTTATTAATGCTATTGAAGTATTTAATTTTAATTACATTAGATGGATATCAATCTTTATATTTCATTTTCCAACTTTATTGATTTCCCAATACCACCAAGTATTAATCAATCATATATGATAAAAATATAACTAATTTAATATAAACATAATATAACTAACCAATATCATGGTATATTTTATTTTTTATTTTATTTCTATGATCTACGTCTGTGAGTTTAATTGTTCTATTGATTATATTTTTTATTTTGTTCTCTATTTGATATTTAGGATTGTTTGATTTATAAGTGAGTATTAAACCAGAGATATTCTTTTTTTGGGTTCATTTTGTTGTTATTTTCTTATTTATATTCATTATTTCCCACATAAGTGAGGGGAGCAATAATATTTTTTTGTGGGGCATGCGCCATCGGCCTTGGGGAGATGGGCACCCCTGCTTCCAAGTATATTTCTTATTTTTAATTTCTGAATGATTTTTTATAATTGTCTTCTGTTATTTCTTTCTTCATAAGGGATATTTGTGAATAGGTTAAAGTAGATCAAAAGTATAATATAAATTATCCTCATTAGTAAATCTTTTTAAACTATTTCACACTTCTTCGGCATTTTTTACATCATATTGATTGTTTAAATTTGTCATTGCTTGAAGGGATTTTTTTTTTTTAACTGATTACCCGGATGCAGTCTGATGTTAATAATTAGTCATTTTTTTTCTTCTAGCCTATATTCTATATTCTGTATATATATATATATATATATATATATATATATATATATATATATATATATATATATATACCTATATTATTTAATTGTGTCATGTATTATAGGGTCGGTGAAATTATGAGCTACTAGTTTTAGTTTTTATATCCTAATTTTTTAATACTGTCCACATATTTATTAAATTTTTGGCCAGATCAATTCCCAGTTTAATTTACTTAATTTCCCTAGAATTATAGCTCTGCTATCCTTAAAAACTGTTCTAGAGAAAGCAGTATTATAAAAATTGTAGTTTATTTATAATTACATTTGATATGGTAAATTCCATAGGTGGGAAACTTATTTATCATGAGGGGCCACAGTAAGGTTAAGGAAGTTCTAATGGAGGCCACAACAATTTTTTATATTGTACTATTCATATTCTTATTTGTCACTAAATACAAACACTCATATACACGGACGGGGTGGCCGAACGGGCTAACGTGTGCGCACAGCACCACTGTTGTCAGGCAACCTGATATGTGAGACAATGGATTTAAAATAGTCACGAGTTTGCGTCCCGGTGCCGGGAGAATCTCTTAAATCCCCGCCCACACCCTGCGGCCCGGGAAATCCCCGTATAGCCTTATAGGCGAGGAAGGGGAGGAACTGAAAAAAAAAAAAAAAAGACACACATATACATATATTCAACTTAATTTTCAAATTTTTTTTACCTAAATAATTGAATATTAATTAGTTATAGCGCTAGATTAATAAATATCGCCCAAAAACGTTTGGAGGCCAACTGTGGTCTATTCCATGTTTTCCCTAGTTGAGAGTTATGCAAATCGAAACCACAAAAATATGGTTTCCACCAAATACTCATAAATTTGTAAAAATATACCCTGTTTAAAAATTTTGATGGCCCAACTTGTTTCATTGAACCTTTTTTTGGATACTCTTGTGCTGTTATAAAACAAATTAAATCAAATTTCAGAAATTACCTTTAGAATTTGACTATTTAAAAATTAGAAGACAAAAAATTGGTTTCACCTCAAACTAAAGAGTCTGTTTATCAAAGGGAAGAAAAATGCAGAAATCATGGTTACAAAAGTAGCTTCAAAGAGTTTTTCACCACTAGCGTGTGTCATGAAACTGAATTCAGGATCTGTAAATGACTTCGGTTCTATTCCAAAACCATTAAGAACAGCTGAGTCAATGGCTGCACGTAATGTTAAGTCTGATACCTGAAATATCAGATCTTATCAATCATAATAAATCTAAAAAAGAATTTTAATATTAATATTTAGTCTTAGTTTATTTTGTGTCCAAATATTTGAAGTCAACTGTCTGCAGTTTCTATGAACTATCAGCTACTCACAGGACACTGCAGATATAGTGTCGCTTAGGTATAGCATTTTAGGTACTGTTAAAATCTTAGAACTGAAGGTTTCTTCCGTTGAATGGCCATCGCTTTTAGATTTCATAAGGAAAATTAAAATTTCAAGATGTAGGAAAAATCAGTCCCCATTGGTATCTTCTCTTTAGGGTTGACAAAAAGTACCGAATGGCGCACTTTTCATATTCACCCCTACTTTTCTACCAGCACTTAGAGTTTCTATTTCTTTTGTTGTTTATTGTTTAAATATTATATTTTCAATCATTTTCAAAGTCAATAATTTAAACCGAGTCTGGTTCTATGTTTAGTTTATGTTGAGACTGTACATTGTATTATTTAAGGTTCAAAATATTAGTTATTGGATAGATGTCATGGTAATTGAATTAAATGTTACTTATATTATATCTTTTTAAACTTTAACTAGAAGTGTATTTATGACTAAACATATTTCCTATTTATAAATAAATGGATATATAAATAATAAAAACAAAAAAGAAATAAATCCTACATGTAGTAGTATCTTTAATAGTAAACAGAATTCATTGTTATCACAATACCTTCCTTCAAATCTTCTTTTGTAATGAAAAGGGAAGAATTGTTTATGCAATATTTTGAAAGGTATTATTGTTTATACTATAATTATAACATTACTACGTAATTATTTTTTAGAAACATTGATACTACAATAAATAAATTATTTAATTTTTTAATAAAAATGTATTTAATTACCTCAATAGGTTGATTTTTCTGATTCTTGATGAAGTCATACATGAACTCCTTTATATTGGCTAAGCTAGGAACCACTTCCTTTAATTTTAATGGAGTCTGGTTTGCAGCTTGAATACTCCTCAATTCTTTCCATCTACAGAAATTCAATTGATTACTCCTTAAAAGATACATGACTTTTTTTTTCACAAACTTCTACCTTTAGAAGATTTGGCTAGAAATAATATTATCTAACTGGCAACTTGTCTGATAAGGTTTAAGAAAATATGAAAAAGAAAGTGAAATTCGGATAGAATTCCTATTTTCTATAATATTATTTACATATTGGTCACCCATCTATGACAACCCTTGCCCACGCGACAGTCATAAATGTGTTTCATTTAAATTAGGTGGCCATTGATCCAGTTTTGATACCTTGTAATGTTTTATACATTTTGAAATTATCTAAATTCCAAATGAATTTTAGTAATTGGTATACTTTGAATATTCTTCTCACAAGGGTTCAAATATAAGCGCAGACTATGGGAGAGGTGGGCAGGGGGAGAATATTGTTTTGCCCCCTCCCCCTCACCAATAATTTGAGATGAAAATAAAACTTCATATAAACAATAGATTGCAGGTCTCGGATAATCTTTAGCAAGGCAGACTATGTGGAATAATGGGAACGAAAACCAGATTGTAAAGGATTGAGTAGAAGGTTTTGCTCGAGAAAGCAGTTCAACTGAGAGTGGACTAATCTTACTAAAAGCTTGGATAAAATCGAGATGGGTCTGAAGTTGGAAGCTGATGAAGGAATAGGAACTTTGTTCAGTGGGCGGTCTATGGTTTTTATTCCAGGATTTGGGAAAAATGGAATTTCGGAAAAAGATTAATTATATATGTTTAGAAGTGCAGGAAGTAAGGCTGGAAGGTAGAGTTTGATAATTGTAACAGTTATTTGGTCAGGATTTAATTTTGGGGGGGGGACTTCAGCCCGAAGGATTTTTTTTCATATATGTATAATAATAATTAATTAGAAAAAAAATAAAGAAATGAACTACCTGTATGAAATGGTGATTAAGTGGTTCTTGAAGTCCTATTAAATGTAACTACACTAACAAGAATACTTTAGGAGATAGTTTTTAATATTTTTTTCTGTAAAGCATAGTTTTACCATTTTACCATTTTGGGGGTAATTCCCCCTTCCCCCTCCCCTCCCCCCGTAGATCCGCCTGTGGTCAGGACCATAGTAGTTTGTTTTGGATTGAAGGGTGGCAGAGAGTAGGTCAGTAGGAGAGATATCGAGAAAATAAAACTTATCAAAATCGAAGGGGGTCAGTCATGGAAAAAATTGAGTGGTCAGATGAAGATGTGAATGAAAATGGTTAGTGAAAAAAGAATTTAGCTTGTTCATCATCTGGATATTGTGTGCAGGTTTTTGAGCTAACAACAGAGAGATTCTTTAGAATTGTCCATTTGGATTAAGGATTATGTTCTTGGAATAAAATGTTTTTCAAGTACTCAAGGCGTAGGGATTTAAATGTGGTATAATACGTCTGTAGTGTCTTCTGGCAGCCTCTCTTCTCCTCATTAGTTCTCTTATTTCTGTATTCATACAATGAGCGAGAGGAAGTCTAAAGATAGTATTTTCAGAGGTGCGTGACGATTGATGAAATGAAATAGGTTGGAGGAAAGGCATTCAACCATGTCATCGATGGAAGGAAGAGAATAAATGGGCTCTAGGGAAGCAGAAAGGAGATCGAGAAAAGGACTAATGTTTTCTAGGTGGTTAAGGAATCAAGATCTCTCCAGGAATTTTTTTTTAGGCGCTGCGATACGTCCGTTTCAGAGACGTTAATACATTTTTTTTGTGATTTATTAATTTGAACATTGTGCAAACTAATGTAGATTTAACTCTGGCGACGGTATTGTTGCATTTAGTACACAAAGTCATCGTGAGCAGCTGATTGACTGGATAATAGATACCGGTAGAGATGATAGGTAGTGGTAGACGTAGCGGGGTTAAGTGCTTTATCTTACTTTCGGCTATCTTATAGAAAGTTTAAATTGTTTTCTTACCTCGTAATGTTTATTAGGTATTAATAGTTTTATAAGATAGTGAACATTAATCTCAAAAGCAATCAATACTAAGAGCACTATATATGTTTTAGTGAAGGTAAACAAAACTGTTATGGCACCACTTTTAAATTTAACACAATTGAAAACAACACCGATCATATCTCTTTAAAGGCTCCAGATTAATAACAACATTAATTCATATTATAACTTACAAAGGTATGGTTTTTGCTGTAAATGGATTATATCCAAATAATGGATCTATATCCTTGTCCACTACAAAACCATTATCACTGAAGCTGTTGAAATCTATTACTAGAACTCTTTTTATAATTTCTGGATCACTGATCAATAGCATCGGCTTATAGAAACAGTAGAAGCCAACCATTCTATGCTTTTTATATTTTCTAAAACATTGGAATTGACATTATTATAGTGAACAGTTCTTCTTTCCTACTACAATCAATCAATGAATTAATATATATGATTTTATAATTATAAAGACATATATAAATAGACAATTTATATAAAAAAAAGTAATATTTCTAATTACTTACTTGTATATGTCACAAAACATAAGAGACACTTTTTGCCCCATCACTAATTGCCAGAAATTTCCAAATATGAACAACTTTGGGATGGAAAATACGTTTCTTCTTTTCCAATAGCCATGGCCCCACCAGTTAAATATTAATAGAAAACTTGCCAATAGGACAATTATCTCCAATAACATGATGTGAAAAATATTCAATCTGTTATAAAAATAAAATACATTTCAATTACTACTCATGTGGATTATGAAAAATGCATTTAAAATTTATTAAATAGTGTACTAGTCTTTAACGAAAGCCTTTGTGCAAACAAATAGGTTTTTTTTCAATCAAAGTATAAAATTTATACATTAAAAATATTTTTCAAAATGTAGACCGACATTGTCGATTAATTTTTTTTTTTTTATCAAGTTCTTTTTACACCCTCCAGTTTCTCGACCAAAGCTTTGTTCAAGAAATCGTAGTGAAGTATTTTTGTTTTCAACCGGTAGGGGAAATCACCAGAGTTTTATAGATTGCTTTACATAGTTAAATTTCTGGAACAAAGATGTGGTTGAAGTTATTATGTTTTTCCGCAGGGTATGACAGCAAATTAATTCTTGGGGTTTTGTGTTCGGTGTTATTTTTTATTCGCGTCATAAAATTGAAGAATGAATTACCATTTCCTTAATTCAGCTCTCGTAAATAATGGGAAATATTTAAAGAAGTTGTATTAAACCGCAATAGCGGCAAAATAGTGTTTCCTGAACACTTGGAACGATGCTAAAGATTGGTCAACAATTTGTAACATATTAGATCATTTTGCTTTCACGACCTGACTAAACCTTTCTTCTTGTCTAGTTTCTCGACTCAAAAGAACCCATGCAAGAAATTGGTCGAGAAACTCAACTTTATGAACTTATTATTCGTGGCAAAATGTTCCTCACATCCTGATGAAACATCAATGTTCCTCGCATGCTCGTTATTCTTGAAGTACCGATCTGTCATAGTAACAGAGTTAACAATAAAGGTAAGTACGCAGCGAAGACATTAAGGTAGCCGTTGAGGGTTACCAAAAAGATCCACAAGGCTTACTTGCGGGTCTAGTTCCTCCCACCAGTACCTGTACCAGTTGCCAATGGTCGGAAAAATATACAGTCATTTTCAAATGAAGTGGATCTTTCAAAATAAGATGAAAAACGCTTAATTCTTATTTAATGATTTTACATAGTAATTTACTTTTAAATGTTTAAAAGTAATAAATAAAGAAAAATTGCTAAAAAAAACTGATTAAATTGCTATATAGGTTGTTAACACCTAACAATCCTTCTCAGTCCCTTTTATCCTGTTCTAAGTTTTGAATATGAGAGATCATTTTTATAAAAGTCAACTAGTGAATTATATGTCTTTAATTAATTACGTAAGGAGTGTATCAGTAAATATGAAATTGAGAGACGGTACAGAATTTTAAAAAATCTTAACGAAGTTCAATTAAAGTGAGTTTGTTTAAAGCTATTTGTGGAATTCATTCTACTTAAATTTGAGTTTAATTTATATAAATACGAAACAGGAGACCTATCATTCCTAGGAACATTAATAAATTAATTTGGTCTTGCAACAGGTCTGTAGACGGGGATCGGTCTATAGACATGTCTACATAGACCAACTGAGACATGTCCCAAAGACATGTCTACTATTGTGGACTAGACTTTAGGATTATTATGAAAAGTTTGCTTAAATAATAATCATTACTAAATAATTTTTTCAAAATTATTGTGTTATATTTTAGTTTTATCATTTCGCTCCGAGCCCGGACTCAGTTGAAATTTGATTCTCCCTAAATTCTACCGCCAGAAGAAACTGCCTCCTTTGCCCTCCCTAGTTATATATTAAATTTTAGTAGGTGAAATCTTTTGAAAATTTAATTGCCCATCATAAAAAGGGATGGACCATTAACATTCCCTACGCTATTTTTTTTCCGTTTGGGTTTAAAACAAAGTCATTCTTTTTCCCCTGTTCTATATAATTCAGCTCTAGAAAATGTCATTAGAAAGATGATAGTTACTGAAAAAGTTTTTAATATGGATAAAAAAATATATATCATTTGGCAATGTTAAGTGAAAACTTGGAAACTATAAAAACTGAATAAAATATCTTCGATGGAAGCTGGTAAATAACTGGGGCTCGAAATAATACGGATAAAACAAAATATATGACCAGCTGCGGAAATGGGGATGAGTTTGGTGATATAGGTATTGAAAGAAATGCAGTTGAAGACGGAGAGAAATTTAAGAGATAAGGTTGACGAAATCTAGAAAAACAATATTAAACAGGAAATAAAGGCTAAGGCTAAAGGCAGAAAATGGTAGACACGCCACAAGCTCTTTTTGAAAGCCCGAGGATATACCACCTCATATTGTTTGTACTGGAGCCTCCTCCAAACGGATAAACAGGCAAGACAAGAGAAGAATTGTATCACTCACCAGATTTCATTTGTGAAAAGGCAATTATCCTCGACACGGATCCGAACGAATTGAACTTTATGTTGTGGTGTGAGTCCTGGAAAGCAAGGGAGTATATGAAATATGACAGCCTTTATCTTCCAAAATTCCTTTTATTAATTTATATGTAACGTTTCGGGACTTTACATCCCATGATTATGATCTCATTCATTCATGAGATTTGTTATTTTTTTTAATAAATTATAATTACTTAATTTTAGAGTGGACTCTTCTCTCTAGTTCTGCTTAAATTAATTAGGCTCTCCATAAGAGAAGGTTCCACTCTAAAATTAAAGAATTATTATATACTAAAAATTATGACAAATCTTACGGATAAATGAGTGGATAACAGATAATGGGATGTAAAATCTCGAAACGTTACATATAAATTAATAAAAGGAATTTTAGGTGAGAAAGACTATCAGATTTCATATACCTCATCACAAAAATATCTCTTAAGACCTAGAACAAAAGCGGAGAGGTCTCCAGCGATGTAATCCATGCTCTATCATCCTTCTAACTGTGCGATGGCTAATTTGTACATAAGAGGCAGAAAACGAATCATTAGCTAGTCTTCGCTAAGTATTAAACCGATTCTTTCGCGCCCTTACAGTCAAATCGGTCTTGCTTTACTGTTGTTGATCATTGACGTCCTCCACTATGTTACTTACAACACTTTGTTAGGTTCATAGTCTAGATGCAACATTTTTAAGGGTATTGCCTCCTTCAAAAGCAGCAACATATGTTGCATGCTCTACTGCTTAACTCTGGCATTAATTCCCCGCCGTCACCCTCTGGCTCGGAAAAATTCCAAGCGTTAAAAACGAGGAAGGGGAGAACAAGAAAAAAAAACCAACAAAAAAAAGATTATTTCAAAAATATCTCTAAAACCATTATTACTCCTGTAATTAATGTTTTTTGTTTATTATTATTTTTATATGGGCCTTTAAGAACCATATATGCGATATATATGGATTTATGGGATCTAAGGAATAAGTATTATGGACGATCCATATTTAATTTATAATAAGTCTTTTAAGAAATTCTGTCATTTTCGTCTAGGTTGATTACCATTATAATTTTTTTAAAACTCCTCAGAAATAAATTCTGGAATCGCTACTGTATGTATTTATGAATAATAATAACACTCTTTGGAATTATACTAATATCCAAAATTATATTTGAGCCTGTTAAACATTCTAAATTGCTGTCACTAACATGCCCAAGCGTATTCTCTGGGGAACTGTTTTCATGAAAAATGTTACTGAGATATTATTACCTGAAGTGTATTCGTATTTCGTTGTCGGCAGCTCAATTCCAACTGATGTCAAACATTTTATGAAGGACATAGTCAATATAACCATTGCGTAATCCACTCAGAGCATTCTGTACCCAACGAGCGGGGGTGCCGCTGAGCTTTTAGGACCAGCCTACTTCTAAAATAGATCTCTTGTAAACGTTTAACTTTTACTTTTTAATGTTTATTAATTTTCAAATATAATATAATTTCTAATATACCTTAAATTATGATTGAAGACGACTCCGCTCTCAGACATTATTTTGTTTATTGCAAGGAGGAGATAGCGCGATAGCATAAAACAGTTGGAATATTTAATCTTCATAAGTTATTAGAATTATTGGACATAAGGATTAAATATTATGGATTATCAATATTTAATTTCTAATAAGTCTTTTTAAAAAATCTCTAAAAACCTTTAATAATCGAGTACGAAACAGTAATCTTATTTCTATAATTTTTATAAGCATATTTAGCAATAGCAATAGCATTTTATATTTAGCAAGCTGCTCTATCTAATTTTTTGAAGAAGAAACATTTTAACAGGAATATGGTTTTTTTAGAGGAGGAAGGGGAGGATGTACACACCTACGGTAAGAGGATGGGTATTCAGGTGGCGAAATATAACTCTATTTTTTTTTTTTTGTTATTTCTTAATTATATTTACATGGGACTGGGATAGCCGTGCGGGCTAAGGGGCTTGCAATAGGTGACTATGTTAAGCAAAGCCGAGCGTGGTTAGCACTTGGATGGGTGACCGCCCAATTGAGTAACCGCCCACTAGTAATGAGTAACACCCGACAACCTACTAGAGGCAACTCACATCAACCGGGCGTAGGACTGGTGACCCTACACCCCGTGTACTTGAATTGGGAATTGGGATGTGGTCTAGTAGGAGACCACATCTCGCGGACCAAGATCTTCATGGTCTGTAGCACCAACCGGAAAAAAAAATGATATTACAACTGTATTAAAATAAATACATTTAGTAAATTTGAAAATATGGATATAATGACGTGTAAACACTTGCTGAGTAACTACCCAATGGTAGCACTGTAATGATATGTCAACATTAGGACATCACGCGGAGCCATCTTCTTTTCAGACGACTCGGAGGTTTATCAGGTATTGAAGAGGAAGCAAGGTCAGAAACGAGACGGTTGGGATAATTCTGAAGTTTATTATGGAAGGACAAGTATCTGGATTGGGCCAGCTCTGAAACATAAGAAACATTAAGGTCATTATGGATGGTTTTATTTGTAACAAAGTAGGGAGCATTGGGGATTTTACAAAGGATTTTGGATTGTAAGGATTGGATACGAGAGAAATTCGGTGGTTTAGTGGAGCCCCATAGCTCAACTCCGTAAGTCCAAATAGGCCTTATTATAGTCATGTATATGAGTCTTTTGTAATTAATTGGAAGTTTAGAGCGTTTGTCTAGCAAGTGCTGAAGTAACCGGAAACGTCGAGCGATTCCTTGTCGTTTCAGTCTGGTATAATGAAATATACCTTAAAGTCGTAACAATGTAGTATGATTTCTTTAATTTTAAGTACTTTAATATTTTCAGGGGACATTACTTTTTTTGAAGATTGATAAATTTTCAGAAATTCAACAATTAAAAAAAATATTGCATTTTATTGAAAAAAGGACTATAAAAAATTGTAAAATTTTATAAGAATGTGATTTCTAAAAATTATTGTCCACTTTAGAAATTAATATTTGAATATTATTATTCATTAGTTTTTAGAGAATATTATATTCATTTTTGCCTTATTTATATTAATACATTGTGTTAATATAAAAATGTATAATTATTTTCAAGTTAATTTATTATTAGCCATATTTACACCAATTTAAAAAAATTTTTGTCACTTAATGACTACTCGTCAAAATGACGACGTTTCGGCTCGTCGAGCCATTTTCAAGTCTAAAAAAAATTTTTCATTTACAATCATATATTAATTTTAACATATTTCAAATTATAAAGATACTTATTATGTACCTAAAATACCCATCATGTACCTGTCATTTTCACTTATGCGAATTGCAACCGTCTACTCATAATAAAATTCCTTATTATTGTCATGTTCACCTTTAATTATTTAACAACATTATTATTAATCTTTACTATTAAGTGATTCAAAATAAGTTAAATTTACCTTGTTTCTGAGTCATCCATCTCATTTCTATTCAGTGACTGGTTATTCTTATAGGAGTAGGGGAAGACTATTTATTATGAACATATATAATGCTGTTACTCAATATTACATGTGGATCTATTTTAAGTAATATTAGCTGATTTATTTCAAATTTTGATTTTTTCAATAGAACTAGCGTAAAAAGTATTCATATTATCCACGTCTGTATGATTATTTACTGAGTTTTTTAAGTTTTTAGTTATGTATATTGATTCTTTAATTCTACGTTTATTCGTATTTCTACTCCTATAAGAATAACCAGTCACTGAATAGAAATGAGATGGATGACATATGGGTGACTCAGAAACAAGGTAAATTTAACTTATTTTGAATCATTTAATAGTAAAGAATTGAGTAATAATAATGTTGTTAAATAATTAAAGGTGAACATGACATTAATAAGGAATTTTATTATGAGTAGACGGTTGCAATTCGCATAAGTGAAAATGACAGGTACATGATGGGTATTTTAGGTACATAATAAGTATCTTTATAATTTGAAATATGTTAAAGTTAATATATGATTGTAAATGAAAAAAATTTTTTAGACTTGAAAATGGCTCGACGAGCCGAAACGTCGTCATTTTGATGAGTAGTCATTAAGTGACAAAAAAATTTTTAAATTGGTGTAAATATGGATAATAATAAACTAACTTGAAAATAAATAGTATGCACCGAAGAAGAATTGAGTAATATTGTGTGTATAATTATTATTCTAATATGCATAATTAGGAAAAATCTCTTGCATATACTTAACGTTTAATAAAAACATTACAATAAATTAAACAGAAAAAAAAATATATATATACATACAATAATTAAGAATAAAATAAATTGATAAAAACACCTACATTCTCTATTTACAACCAGGCGAGGGAACTCCGAGCCAGACTTGTCCCTCCAACTGTGGAGGGAAAAGCAAACATATAAATAAAAAATACATTTGAAAGCTAGTTTCAAATAGAGTGTTACCCCAGTGAAATTGATTCTATCTCAAATATAAATAGATTGTGTAAGAATATCACTCCAGTAGACCCCTGTTTAAATGGCTATATCAAAATGTCCTTCAGTAGACCCTAGACTGCGCTATGAGGTGGTGGGTTCTTGCCTTCTTCTCATTCAGGTAACAGTACTATTTTTCAATCCAATTAAAAAAATGAACAAAAAAAACTCTATTAAATGTACATAATTAAGATGTGCGTTAAGTATAAACATTTTTTTATAGAAATAAGATAGATTGGCAACTACCTCTCGCTTCCTCACACATAGACCAAAATTTAATAATTTACAAATAGTGATATTTCTCGGTATATACATGATAACAATTCCAACCTTTATAGCGGATATTAACCTTATATGACAGCGAAACTGTAGTGATGAGTACTATCAAAATATATTTTAAGAACCATATAAAATAAGGTAATTACCTATCAAATAAATGTCAGGTAGATATAAAGCAATACAACTAATTATACGGAAATAAATAAACAGGACGTTGACTCCAATGTTTTATTGTAGTTCGGAACGGGTTAAAGGCCCACAGAAATTGACATTGGGATGGTAAGGGATCGATAGATGATGCCAGAATTCTTCCAGCTGCTTCGAAAAAAATTGATGTGCATTTAATTTCGAGTTACTACACCGTTTGTGGTTTCATGTTGTTAGATTTTAGTTCGGGCCTGCTATCTATATTATGTACTTTAATCGAGTTGTTTAAATTCAAATTGAGCCACAGGCAGATTTACGGGGGGATCTTTCAGGCTGAAGCCCCCACCAAAATGGTAAAATATAACCATGTTTTATAGGAAAAAATATTAAAAACTATCTCTTAAACTATTATTGTTCGTGTAATTGCATTTAATAGGACTTCAAGAACCACTAAAACACCATGTCATATGGTTAGTTAGTTTCTTTCTTTTTTTTCGAATTAATTATCATTTTATATAAAAAAAAAATCCTTCGGGCTGAAGCTTCCCCCTAAAATTAAATCCTGGATCCGCTCGTGAATTGAGCTAATCGTCATTTTCAAATTTTCAGGAAACGCCAAAAACCATATTCTCTATTCCAGTTGTAATATCAAAATCAACATTTTTCAAAAACAAATTATGAAATTCTTAATTTGTAGCATATATCTACAAAAAACATTGATAATTTTATATTAATTTTAAAACACTTAAATTTAAATATGGCCGCTTTTAAGATGAATTTACCTTTTAGTCCGGTCTTGAAACAAAAAATCTGGTGCGCGCAACACACAACTTTCACTTACCGCTCAACTTAGAATAGCAATTATTTTCTGGCCATGTCGGGCTATTATAAACATCTTTGATTTCATTTTTAACTGAGCTAAAGCTAATTGCAATTAAAAAATTTTAGATTGCAGCTATCAAATCAAAAATACTATTAAAATAACAAAAGTCCTATTTATTATATCACCGGTTGATTATGGATTGTTCGATCCGTTGATTATGGATTGTACGACTATTAGTTACTAAACTGTTATTTTCCATTGCAAAGTTTATTAAAACGGAATTAAGAGATTTGCATTGTCTGTCATAGACAGGTCAAAAGTTATCACACTAATTGTATATGGATTCTGTTTGAAAATCGCAAAGGGAAAATTTATCAAATTATTTACTAATTTAATTTTCTAAAAGGTTAGATGATGATTTTTCGGAATAAACGGACGATAGATACCTAATTATTTAAATATAATGTCAGATCTAGAGTTATTAAACTACAGTAAATATATTTAAGGTTATAAACGTATCCATGAAATATTTTTATATTTCACTTCTTCTTTCACACAAGTACAATGAAATAGTATCTTAAACAATGCCATTGCCTTTTATCCCTGGGTTTTAAATACTTTTTCAAACTTTAAAAAAAATTTAAAAGTTTACATTTAGTAAGAAAATTATCTTGAAAATATGTTACTATTTATATATTTTTCGTTAATCTTCGTTACCTTCTACAACTTTCTATATTAGATAATGATTTTTCTAAAATTCTCCGCTTTCCAACGATATATTATACGTATCCCTTCTGACCAGAATTTCCATAAATTCATTTTCAACCTGTATAAGTATTTTTATTTTTTTCTCCTTTATTTAATTATCAAATTCTTCCAAAAGTAATATTTAACATTCTTTCGTAACACTTAATAATGAGAGATTATTATATTCCATTTATAATAAACCAAATTAAAGGTACTTTAGAGGAAGATGTGATAATGTTGTCATTTCGCAAAGGGAAAATTCATCAAATTATTCAATAATTTAATTTTCTAAAAAAATACTATACAATTTTTCGGAATAAACCTTAAAACCTAATTATTTAAACTAGTGTTCGCCCAGTGGTCGATATTCGACCATAGTCATGAAAAATTTGAGGAAAATATATAATTAAATAAAAAAAAGAGTAAATCACGATTCAAAAATCCTCATTTAATAATATAAACAAAATTTCAATTACAATTAAAAATCGAGCTTAAACTACTTAAAATTATTTATAAGTAATACAAAATAGACTCATTCAAAAATATCTAATTTATGTGAGTTATTATCACAATAAATTAATATTATGACTAAGCAAGTAAAAAATAAATTTAAATTAGCAATTTCAATTCACTTTAAATTATTCAGAACTTCTCTGTAAACAATGTGTTCTTTTTTTAATGTTCTGTTATTGTTTAGTGCATAGACATGCCCATTCAAGTTAATAATGAGCACAACTATAGAATTTACTTAGAACATTCCAATAACATTCAACGATATCATATAATATTCAAATAATAGTCCAGATTACTTCATTCAATTTAAACTTTTCAATTTATCAAAAAAGAAAATAATGAAAATCGACTTTGTAAAAAAAACGTACCAAATGTTTAAAATTATATATATCTGCAACGAATAGTCCGATTTAGATGATTTTTTTTTTTATTTTGTAGGAAATTAAGAAAGCTTTCAAATAAATACTGGTGTTATCTATAAAAAAAAAAGTGCACTTTTTGAGTTATCCGCAAATAAAATACTGAATTCATCATAAAAATTTATGCGGCTTGTTTTCGGGAAATTATGTCATATACATAAATTATAAAGGTTTCAAAGGGAAGACTTTAGCCAAGTTTCATTGAAATCGTTGAAGCCGTATTGGCGCTACAGTCTAAAGCGAGCCACGTTTTTCGGCCGCCATTTCGAAAGGAAAGGCCTGATGATAATGAAACGTATACAAAAAACACTTCTAAATATTATTGCGACGTTGTGTCAAAATTTAAAAGAAATCGGTGAAGAACTTTCGGAGTCTAGCCGTTTTGAACAAACTAATATTTATGTATTTATTTACATACTATTTCATATTTTTATTTATTGATAACACTAAAGCTCGTCAATAGCTATTAAACAAAAAAAGAAGGAAGAAAATAGGTTGAATAATAGAGGAGTAAAAGGGGCTGAACTGTTTTGCGTTTGCCTATTTATATAATGATATCATATCAGATCTATAATCACTAAAATACAGTAAGTATATTTAAGGTTATGAACATATGCTTTATACATCCATGAAATATATTTCATTTCTTCTTTCACACAAGTACAATGAAATCGTTTTTTTAACAATGGCATAGCCTTGATTAGGTGGATTTTAAATATTTTTTTCAAACTTAAAATATTTTAAAAAGTTACATTTAGTTCGTAAATTTCATTTAATTTCCTTGATTGATAACATGTGATTTACGTTAAATATTATTAGTTTTCAAAAATTATTATTTATAATTGTTTTGCCACTCTCCGTTACCTTCTACAACTTTCTATATTAGATATTGTTTTTTCTAAAATTCTCCGCTTTCCAACGATATATTATACGTTTATCTTCTGACTAGTATTCTCGGAGATTCATTTTCGACCTGGATAAGCATATTTATTTTTTTCTCCTTTATTCAATTATCAAATTCTTTCAAAAGTTATATTTAGCATTTTTTCATGACTCTTAATAATGAGAGATAGTTATTTAAAATAAACCATAGTAAAGGTATTTTATAGGAAGACGCATATGAACATTGGGCATTTAAGCCCTGTAAAGTGACATCAACGGAGATAAGGCATGATTGATATTAAACATCACTTCATTATGCAATGATACACCGAGTTTAATCAAAATCGTTTATAGAGCAGTTTTTGAGAAAATTGTAAAAATGTGTTTCAGCGTTGATATAATGTGGCACTTCCTGTTAGCCGATTTTAAGGAAAAAGTTGCCAGGACATCTAAGGCATATACCTATCTTAAATATGTAACATCAGTTTCGTATGACTTTTCAGTTTCGAGCTAGAGTGTTCATATGCACACCGATACACAGTCCATTTTTCGGGACTTGGTTATTTTGACTCAGTGGACCTCAAAACGTGTATTTCCGTCTAAAACTGAGATTCCAAAATTTTCTCGATGGCAATACTTATATTACATATATAGGTAAGTGAAAGTAATACTATATATTATATATATAGGTAAGTGAAAGTAATCCTATATATTACACATATAGGTAAGTGAAAGTAAAAAGGTTGATTGGTGTTCGATTTGGAAAGAAACAAAGATTATATTATTGTAAATACTACAAAAGTTCATTTTTTTCCATATATATATATATATAGGTATTTTCATTCCTATATATATATTCCTATATATATATTCATATATATATATATATATATATATATATATATATATATATATATATATATATATATATAGATATTTTCATATATAGGTAAGTGAAAGTAATACTATATATTATATATATAGGTAAGTGAAAGTAATCCTATATATTACACATATAGGTAAGTGAAAGTAAAAAATTTGATTGGTGTTCGATTTGTAAAGAAAAATGTTCGATATGCTATTGTAAATACTACAAAAGTTCATTTTTTTTTTTTTTTTTTTTTTTATACGAATGGTTCAACAAAAACAGTCTATTTTAAATATTTATTGGAATAAAAAATTTTAAAAAGATTTGGGTGATTGTTTTTTTCAACTTGAGAAATGCAAATATCATTACACCTCTCGAAAAAAAGAGAAATTACATAACTACGGTAATATTGCACGGCCTCTTATCTGAGTTGCTAAATCACA